GTTTTTGGACAACACCCGCTGACCATAGAGCCCAAGGAAATGTGCTTGTTCTTGTGAGGATCTTCTTGAATCATGAATTTTCCTATTTCAAATGATCTTACTTCCCAGAAATACTACACTGACAAATATGGATCAATCGAAAAATTAATCGATAAGGCCAAGAATGGCGAAATCCACGCCCAAGCAGATTTGGGATGGGCTTACTCGCAGGGTTTTGGCGATCTCTTGCCGCGAGATAACGACAAAGCAATCGGATGGCTTAGCACTGCTATAGATAAGGGTTATGAATTTCCTAACGTCCTTGGAAAACTTGGGGAGTTATTAGATCGGAAAGGAACGATACGACATCAGCAGAAGGCTTATGAGATGTACCACAGGGCAGCGAAACTGGGGTGCAGAAGTTCACAGCTCAATCTTGCAGAAATGTATAGATGTGGAGTTGAAGGAGTCGTGAACGAAGACCTAAAAGAGGCTTTTAAATGGTATAAAATGGCCGCTGGTGAAGGTGAGAGTGATTATGAACTGGGGCCAATGGATAAATTATTGTCTGGTACGGTGAAAAAACTCGACAACGCCTCAAAGCCAAGGGCTCTGAAATTTTTGTACAAGTATTATCTTGAGGGTGAATGTCCGGAAGGCCGTCCACAGCCAACTAAAGCAATTTATTATTTGACAAGAGCAGCTGAAATAGGTGATACTGAGGCTCAATGTACCTTGGGGCAGATATACTTAAACGGAAGTTGTGAGCAAATCAAAGACGTTTCAAGAGCAAGAAGGTGGCTCAAGAAAGCTTCTGCAAATGGTGATGTTGTGGCAAAACAGGTGGGTCTATAAATAATTGTAGATCTTACAAGGGAATGGGTCAGTTTTCAAAAAAAGTTTTCAACTGGAACTCACACTGTCTTGTAAATTGCACTTGTAGAAGTTTTATTAAAATTGAGCCAAATGATTGTTACACTTATTGGAAAAAAGAGTTGATCTTTATGATTGATATGGATACCAGTCGAAACAGAATAGAAGTCTATCACACTGATTGTCATTGCAAACAATGTCAATTTATATGAAATGGCAAAGGTGCTAACCTCCGCAGATACAGCTGCAAGTACTTGGGGATGTTCTCTTTGGCACTACCCAGTTTATTGCACCACCAACCATCTCCAGCACACCTTATCGCTAAGGCAATTACCTACACCACTATCATGTCAAACACAATAGGCCACTTGCACTAAGAGGTCACGTGACCAATGCTTCCTTTAAACATTGAGTTGGAATCTTGCTGATGCCAAAAATTGTTAGAGCTCACAAAAATTATGTTACACCCGAAATTTGAGAGGAAACGCATTTAAGGGAGATATTTTGTGGCACTTTGATTTTTCAGCAAAGTAGTATGATTTGTATCGGCCGCCATGTTGGAGGGCATGCTCTTGCCGTCCAACATGGCGGCCAAAACTACTTCTTGCTTATATCTTGCTCAACCTTTCATAGTTACGTTCAAATGTGCTGTAAACGTTATCACATCATCTTTTCAACATTTTCCTTGAAGTTTAAGTGCAAAATTTGTGTTGAGAGAGAGGTAATTTATAATTTTAAAAATCACATTTTGGTCACGTGACCATTTACGAACTTATTTATTTTAAGAAAATGGTGCGGGTTTGAAAAACCAAATCACCATTATTTTGTTTAAGATATGACCCACTAATCGTTTTTCGAAGGCAAAATCATATAACTTTCATTTTCATAAAAACGGTGTCACATGCCTCTAAGTGCAAATGGCCTATTGACTACTTGACTTGACTTAATTGGCCACAACTCCCAAATGGTTTGTTTTTCCAGTTTACTGAACATTGATTTGCTGGACTTTTGTGTCTGTGGCTGTAATGACAAAAGACAAGATGAATAAAATTATGCTAAAAGAAGCTATTTCAGGAATTTTAATTTTTCAGTGGATGGTTTCTACCTTACCCTGGTCCCAGAGGTTTTTTTTGCTTTTCCATGATAGGGAACAAGCAGCAACTCATTTTTACTGCTTTGTGGCTTGTTCTCTCTCAAGGGCAGAAAAATCATGATAAACCTCCGAGACTAAGCTTGACCTCTGCCACTCTCTCTCCCTCTACTGAAAGAATAGTCTTTTCGGGGGAGGAGTGCAGGCCCATTTTCCCAAACAACAGCTGGTAGTCAAACCTACTCATACAGCTGTAGACCAGGGTAGGATTTTTGGAGAGCGGCTTATGGTAATTCTCTTGTTTTGCACTGCACATCACCTAGTGTGCATAACACTGTGACTTCAATGGTGGCGGCAAACTTCACTGGTTGCCTAAAAAGAGGTTATAGTGATTTTGATAATTCTGCCCAGCTAAAAAGGTGTTTTTCTTGAAATTCGTCCCAGTCCACTTGTGCAAAATGATCATTTGAAGCCCAAGTTTTCCCTTTGTTGTCATTTGCGATGAAATGAAAACGGTGACCCCCCTTTTTATGTGTGTTTTTTACTTGTTATGGCAACACAAAAAAATTATATATATTAAGAAGAAAAAAAATCTGGATAGTAGAAGTTATATTTTTTAGGTATAAATGACATGAATTTCGACATTTACAGCAACAGAGAGGTACAAGAAGATCTTAAAACTGTCCCTTTTCTCTACATTTTTTCAAAATCAGGTAATTTGAGGTCACTTTACTGAAAGAGCACAGCCCAAACAAACAAAAGGGCTTAAGGTTTTAGTAAGATTCATAGTTCTTGTTATAAAATTTTTGACGGTTGTTTAAGTTGTTTCCCATGCAGCAAGGAAAAAACACTCAGAATTATGGGAATGCATGGCACAAACAAGCACAGTGACCCCATATTTTTATTGCAGTTTTTGAATGTGCTACATATGTCTGACATTTGTGCCGAGTTGGAAATAAATCTGGATAGTGCATCATTTTCAAGGGAATGACCTTAAATGTAAGCCCATTCTCCTTAGTAACTTTAAAGTTGATTATATCACTCACAACGTGGACACTGCGAGAACTGTTATGCATCAAGGATTATAATTTTCAATCGACGACAAAATTAGTTAAGACATTGACTTACAAGGGGAAAATAAAGCTTCTCCTCCCCCATCCCCTCCATGCAATTTTGTGCCACTTATCGAGCTACCTGTAGAAAACAACAGACACCCCAACTTTGAATGGAGGGAAGAGAGGAGGGGGTGTGGATTCTTTTGCTCTCTAAAGTTACTCTTTTTGAGTACAATGACTCAACAATTTTGACACTGATTGATTGGTAGCAACAACACTAACAAGGCAAAAACTGTAACTGCTATGGATTTCATAACTCCAAGGGCTCCCTGACACAATGGCACAAGGTACAAGGGCTGTTGATCCAAACATCTCCCTTTTACCATTTCATTATTGATTCAACAAGCAGCATGGCATCATTGGAATTTCACTTTGTGTAGGCACCAATGCTGGAGGACTGTGTTCAAGCCTTACTTGTGCACTGTTTCCTTAGACAAGAAACTTTGCCCCACTATCTCCTTCTTTATCTGGCACTAGAATAAAATAACCATGACATACTGCTGGGCTACCCCGCAATGGAGTTCTATACCATCTAGGGAAGAATAGGTAATACTTCTGGGTGCTATATGCCACAGAATCTGGCATGCCTCCCATGTAGGCCTCTTTGGCTCGTGTTTGCCTCTATTACCTTAAGGGGGCCTATCACAGGCCTACCAAATAGTGAAAATTAATTTTCAAATTGGCAACTTGAATTCTAAATCACACCTTATCAGTGCTACCCGGTCATCCAGAACAAGAATATTTTCCTGCAAAACAGATCACTTTTCAATAGCCAAGGGCCAAAACAAACCACCTTTGGGTTTATTTAACTCTAAGGAAGACAATGGTGAAATGGCCATAGGCAAGCAAAATTTCAGAGCTGCTTTACCAATGACAATCTTGAATTTAAGTCTTGTTTATCTTTAAAGCTGTGCTCAATACTGGTTCTCATATGCTACTAACAACCTACGTGGAACATAGATTCCTGCTCTGTGATCTGGGACACTGTTTTGAAATATTATGGCAACCTTATGCCTCCAACAACAGGAACCATCCCAGGTCTTTACTGCCCACATGCCTGTATAGTTCACTAAAGTTCCACGTCCCAGGCATGTTGGTGTTTTTTTCCAGCACATTTATTATCTGGAAATAATTATTTAACTATGAACACTAGAAATGTTTATGGAATGCTATTGTGTTGCCAGAAAGAAGCCAAGCATGTGGTGTTTTGAGGTTTGCTTCTGTGTCCTGAACTTTATTGTAGTTGGTCACAACACAATCAGCATTCCTGGAATATTTTTGGTGTTCACACTTTTCATTAAGTCATTATATTCATGCATGTTTTAAATTTTTGAAGAGGAACACGTAGCAGGTTACCCTGGGTTCCAGAGGTTATTTTTTTCTTATCTACTTATCTAATTCCTGATAGTTCTCGGCGAAGCCTCAACAGCGTCTTGGGAGCTTTATCAAACCGTGAGCACGGTTTATTTTATCTTAGGTATTACTTGCCTAGTCCCTAGGCCTCATTATTCCGCGCGGCCAAGGCGTTTCGGGTCACGTGGTCCAAGCGAAAATGGGAGGCCGTTTCCCGCCCGTTCGCCTCGGATACGTCACCGAAATGAATTGATCGGTAGGGTTTGGGAAAACGTCGTACAGAGACTAGGCAAAGGTATTTCGAGAACGGACCTCTGGAACCAGGGTAGTAGCAGGTACGTCTTTACCATGTATTTTCTGATAAATGTCAATGACACTGGCAAGTGTAGTGCACTTCGTTGGAAGCTGGCTGGTAGCATATGATGGCATACCAGGCTTTACTTGTAGACATTGTGAATGTTTGTACATAAATCTGTATCGGTGATGGAGATCCAAACTTCCTTGCTAGTTTCAGAAGAGTGGCATATGTTTAATGAGGACAATGTACTGCTAGACACCGAATTGGATTTCCAGGGTTATATTTTTGTAATGCATACTATCTGGAATAGAGCGTTTTCACTCACTTGGCTAGCATCTATGCAAATTTATCGGAACAAAAGAAAGCGTTTACATATAAAGAGTTCAACTCCCGCAGGATTGGTTAGGAACACCAACGTGACCGCCGTTTCGTTGTTGTGAACACCATTATGGCCGCCGTGACGTCATATGAAAACGCTCTATAGCATAATTTTGTGTAAAAACATATTATAGCTGTCTAACTCTTACAATAACGCTGTGAAATCTGCCAGTTGGTTACACAGAAATTGAAGAATGAATAATTATAACAAATTTATGATTCTCTTACCTCATGTCGGATATACACTTGACCCCAAAAGGTACTTTCCCCAAACGTTTATCTCACTGTCTTAGTTGTGACAGTTGCATTTATGGCTCCACTCCTGCTTATTTGGTAGATGTAAGCGAGCCTTTATATGTTTGTTTTTTATTTTTATTTTTTCAGCTTCTTAATAAATGCGAAGAAGCGGAAGATAAGCAGCATACTGCATCAAAACCTAAAAAAGAGGCCTTGGCTCAGTCATTTGAAATCATGCGCGAGAAACTAAAGCAAAGATCAGAGGCACAGCAACACCCATTTGTGATCACCGAGCCTACTGCATTTTCAGAGGAAATGCTCAGTGCGTTTCAGTGGTCCCCAACGGCACGGATTTATCTTCAGGCTCTCAGACTGGTAAACCAGGGGCTTGAAATTCTGATCAAGAGTAACTTTGCTGACGAAAGAGGGATTTCTCTTTTAGCTCGTGGGTATTTGACTGAAAATTCTATACTTCAAGCTTTTCCTCTTATAATGCCTTTTTTGCCTAAACTTTATCAACTTTGTGAGAAAAGTATGGAAAATAAACCAAGTTTCTTTGAAGGCCTCGTCGTAGCTTTTGCTTTCCACTTTTACGAGTTGAAACAGACACAAGAGACGAGGAAAACTGATCTTAAAAAGGTGATGTGTATGAGAAATTTGATTCGTTTCATTGAAAAAGCCGAACCCAACAACGTTCCAATTGAAGACTGTTTTAGGTTTGACCAAAGCTACCGCAGTTGGCTTCACGTTTTGTATGAGTTCTTGGGATGCCTCTATGTCGTTGCAGAAAACTATGAAGCAGCGGCTGAAGCTTTTGAAAGTTCCCTGAAGTGCTGTCCAACCTACTTTCCAAGCAAAAGAGGCCTTGGGCTTTGTTTGGTATGTCTGTATTCCTCCAGAGTTTGCGCTAAAAGAGAGGACTCCGCACCCCCGGAATTGCGCAAGTACTTTCCGAGTGTCGAACGAGTCGTAGAGGAGAGACAAGTTTCTAAATACAGATCCTGGACCACTGAAAAGCTAGGAGACACTGCTAGAAAAATATTGGAAGAATTTTGGGCGGAAGCACCTTCGTGTTGGAAAACGTACCCAAATGTTTGCTACTACCTTGCCCAGCTTGCTTTTGTGAACTTTGACATGAAGGAGTTAAAAAGGTATTATGAACTTGGCCAAGATGCTGAGGAAAAAAGGTTGCCTTTCTTAGACGCTGTTGATGTGCCTTGGAAGGATATGCTGTCCTCATTCTATCAGCTACTTGCTCATTTACCAGAACCCCCCAGATGTGGCAATAAAGCTTGCACTAAAAATATCAAGGAAACTGATCTAAAGTCCTGTGGTGGCTGTAGGACGAAAAAATACTGCAGCAAGTGAGTAGCAAATTTAAACACAAAAATAAAACACTCTGCAACCCATACCTCGCCAAAAATTATCCTCGGCCGTAGTATATTTGCTTTGATTAAGTATTATTATAACTGACGCGATTCTGGATTTTTGTAGTGCATTGTATACAGTAAAAACCCGCGATTAAGACCCTGCTAGGGCAAAATTTGCCAGTTAGGCCCCCTTCATACAAGAACCTGTTTAAGCCTAAAATTTAAAACAGGTTTCATTTTGTATAATTAGGCAAATAACAGACAACATCGTGGCACGATCCTCTTTACAGACATAGGTGCCTTATCACTCCAACTGCAATTGTAACGGTAAACAATTTTTACCTGAGGAACGAGCTGAATATCACTAAATACTCTTTGCTACAACGTATTTTTTCTTCAGAAAAATTTAATAAGAACCTTTATAAAAACCTACTGTAAATAACCTAAATTTGTGCTAACTATGCCCTATGTAAGAACCTGTGTACGCTAACTGGGGAAATGCAGGTTCTTAATCGCTCAGTTTTTATTGCATAACGTCGCCTCTACAATGGGTTTAACTTTGTCATTAACAAAATGATAGATTCTTATTGGCTTTTGTGCACAACTTAACTGTTTTAAAAAAAATTGTCCAGAGAGGAAAAATTTAGCAAATGTTACTAGTTAGTGAAATCTCAATAGCTAAGCAAATGGCAACCAAAATGAATCCAAATCTTTTTTCTGTAAGATGTCCACTTTAAGCTTGAAAACAAAAATTTAGAAAAAGAATGGGTCCATTGACAAGTTGTATTGCTTTTAGAATTTGAAATCAAAGAAGCAAACGATACAGTAGCTAAAGTTTACAATAGCTTCACCGAACATTGTAAGCGATGCTTTGGCTTCAAAAGTTGTGTATAAGCTTTGTTGACAAGTTTGTGTCTTCACTTGAGTATTCCATTATTGGGTTTCTCGCATTTTATCGTTGCCATAAATAATTGGTAATCGGACAATTCGGAGTAACGTCAACTGCGCTATGCGCAAAACACGGCTGATTTAATATTTACGCCTGGCTTCTCCCTGAATTGTACACCTCTCAGTCCCGCTACCATTACGAATGAAGGTGAAATTGTAGTTGAACCACTTACAATATATGGGGGAGAGGGTAGGAGCGTCGCCCCACGCGTGATCCTGTAAGTGCAAGAGACGGAAAAGAATGCAATATCATAATTTTTCACTTGCTGATGTATCTTATACAAAAGACTATTTCTTTACGAATTTGAAGTTAAGAACGCATCCATAATTAACTGAAGCACACGACAGAAAACATTGTGAGCTAGTTTCTTTAACTTCCAGAGCCTGTCAAACATCAGATTGGAAGGAGCACAAAGCTACGTGTACTGCTTCTAAAGGAGCCAAGGTAAAGGACGGTACCTAGGATTGTTATGGTCCATCAAAAGATAACATAAATGATGAAAAGATAAGGACATCAGTTCAAGGGTCGCTGTAACGGGAATCTCGATGTAAGCCTTTTTCTTCACACAGAAGATAACAAAAGGCTTCTGCAAAGCCAAACATGGTGGCTCATTTACAGTGGAATGTTTGACGAAAAGCAAACTACAGTTGCTCCCGACTGCGCCTCGAGCAACTCCTACGCCTCTTTCTTGCTCTCTTAACTTTCCGCGTGCTTCATATCTCGACTAGCCTGCAAACACGATTCAAGTGGAGTGGGGCGAACAAGAAAATCGGCGAGCGAAGCGAGACGAGCGTGGCCTTGGAGAGAGATAAATGCGGGGGAGCCAGTAGACTTTGTTTTGATGCCGCCCATCCGCCCACTTGCAATTTAGGGTGGATTCATTTACAACATACGCGTATAGCTGTCGCATTTGCCCGCTGGAATTTTTTTTATCATTTTCCGGCGTAAAAACATTAAAAAATGCGACAGCTATACGCGTATGTTGCAAATGAATACACCCTTAATATCCTTTAACACTTATTTTTCACTTTGCTCGGTTTCCTTTGTTCTTTTTAGGGAAATATATTACATAACCCCTCGTTATTATTCACTGCCTGAAAAGTTTGGTAGCGACTTTGATTGTAACATTGATTGTAACAGGGGAGTGCGGGGCTGAAACAGTGATAACAAAACAATGCAATATATATTTCCCCTTCTCGTTCCCTTTCTCATATTCCCCTGAACATGTCACACTATCCCATAAAACAACACAAGGCACAATTTGGAATTTCGATTCAACGAACTTACCACAATTTCTGAACTTCATTTCCGCCGTCGGCAGCTGTCATAGCGCAACGTCCTTTAAACTAGAAATTCGCATCGGCGGCCGCGTCACTTTCAATTGAATTTGACAAAACATCTCCAACGGCTTGCAATGTGACTCGTTGGACGACTGACACACCAATCTGCCGCGGTGGAAGGTCCACAAGAGTTTCCAAAACTGCTCTGCCTTAACGTTATGAATACTTCTTCCTCTGAGTTACTCATCTCTTTCTGTTAAAACTACTGTTTGACTACTCCAAAGAAATTGACCAATTTCCATATTTTAGAATTCAACCTCAAACAATTCGAGGATCTTGGGAATAAGCATCTCTAGAGAATTAATTGAAAGCTTTTTCAAAAGTGTTTTCCTTTAGGAAACCTCAGGAGTGAAAAATAAGCATTTAACTTATTTACCTGTCGCGCCCTCGGGGCGGCACCTGATGGATATATCACATATCCCCTAGTTCCAGGCAAAATAACCCTTGCACAATTTATGCCACTAACATCTCAATAAGATAATTAGTCCCGTCAAATTATGATGTTTTTTTTTACGCTTGAATGCATTGGCTTAATAACATTCCTACGCACGTCTGGTGCGCACGTGGGTATTCATCGCTCACTTGTCAACAGTCAGCGATCTGACCAATCAGATCATGATACGTGAATCTGGTATCATGGGTGGGCGGCATTAGAAGGAAAGTCTACAAGCTCCCCCCCAAACTTGGAATGGACTTTAAAATAGGGCCTGAATAACAATCACATTTATAATTCGCCTAAATATAAATACTGATTAGTTTTGTCTTATTCAAGGCATCTATTTGCGTACAATTATATTGACTATTCATTTAACATATTTCGGAATTCGCCATTTCTGATTGGCTCCAATCTCCCGACTAATTTTCATAACCAGCCGGCACTTATCATATTTGGAAGAGTCAGCACTATATAATCGATACGATGGTATATTGCCGCAATACAAAATAGCAACCTCGTTTCCAGGCAGTGGCGTGGCAACCTAATAAAATGTAAACTGAAACAAATGGCGAAAGAGTTCACGAGTATCCGAAAACAGAATAGCCCAATTGCTGACTAAAACTGAACTAAAGACCCCACAAGCTGTAAGCTTTGGCTTTCATCGTGTATAAATAAAGGTTGTATGTACGTATGTATGCAAGAATACGAAAAAAATATTGCTCGATGGATGTCAGCTATCCCAAAACCGTGCCGAAAAAGAAAGACAACGAGGAAGTAAGGCTGTTAAAAACTTAGAAATGTTTTGAATGAATTATAAAACTGTTATTGATTGCGACTTCCTTATGATATCAGCCGCCTGTGATATCATAGTTATTAGAGGAGACTGGTTATGAAAAGCGGCAAACATCAATGATAAAAACAACAGTGCTGCAGTTTATGTTGGAAGCACCCTGAAAGTGCACAATCCTTTGTTTTCTGTTGGCAAATTGTTACAAATTAATGCAACGTTTTTATTGGTCAATACAATCAAAATGATAGGAATTCTTTTGAACGTTGTGCACTTTCAGGTCCACAAAAACATATAACAAAGGAGTCTGACGGGTTTCATAACCATTCCACTCAATGAACTATGGTGATATGAAGAATTATGCAGATCTCAGAGCCTGATAAAACCCCTATTGATCTGTATGAACATTCACAACATACTCAATTGTTGAATATTACGTTAATATAAATATAACGTAGGCAACCAGACCACTACCGAAACCACTGAGTCATTTCAAAGTTAAAACGACTCGCCGCCTTTTAAATTATAAATCAATCAGGCAATAGAAACTTGTTTCGTATATTTTGTTACACGGTCATACTGATTTACTGCAACCAAAAGATATGTGAACAATTGTGACAGACTTTGAGGAGAAGCGAAGAGGCGAGGTAAATATTTCTAAAGCAATTGTTCACCGAAATTGAAAATAATAATTGTTCTAGTATACGCGCACTAAATGATGTCAACAGTTAATAAGGCGACGTTGGTCATCGTAAAAAATGCGCACATAGCGTTATTAAATTTTAACAAATTTGTTATTCTTTCATGTCTTAACGAGAATTGTGCGAATTCGGCTGTAGAAATGAAAAAAAAAACACACACACACACACACAACTACCACGCCTGATAAGGAGCTAAGTGATCGAGGAATATGACCAGTTTTTCTTCGATCCCAGTAAACGTGGCCCAGAAAAATGCCTTCTTGCTTGTGCCATCGAGCCAATCCACAAGCACACCACACTCCATTATCACGTTGAAGATGTCTGGGCTTTGAATATGGGAAACGATGGTGTGACTTCTATCACACACGGCAAGCAACTGCAGTGGGTGAGTGTTCTGAGAATGAGTTTTAATTTTAACAATAAATTTTTGGCGGCTGTTTGTTCGGGGCGCAGATCCGGTTCCAATACCTTTTGACTCGGCGCCGAATGTCTGCACCGAGGCTAGCGCTTCCTTTGACTTTTCAATCGGAATAAGGTCAACTGTAACGGAGTAACGGCTCTTTAGGGCCAAACATAACGTTTTATGGGTGGACCAGTGCCGGCGCTGGCATTCTTTGCTACAATAGGATGCAACGTTGCATGTTAGGCATTTCATGAGGCGCAGATTTAAGCGACGACAAAACGTGCAACCAGTGACTAGTCGCTGTCCCACCTCGCGGGGATGACAGATACCCTCTTTGTTGTTAAATTCTTTGTTCCCACTGAGAAGAGGCGGTTTGGAATAA